TCTCACAGTGCTTGGGGAGTTCACACTTGATACTTGGTTGGTGAAATCTAAGTGTAGAACACACAACCCATTTGGGGTTTGTGCCTGGTTTGTAAACACCTGTCCTGTGGTTGGTACTCACATTTGTGAGTTTCTGTACACAGCTTGACAGTCCTGATTCTGCTCATTGCTCTCCTGTACCCTTCTTGCTGCCCCAAATCCAGCTACGGCTTCTGATGAAGAAACCAGTAACATCAATGTTTCCTCTGGTTCTCATTGGCCCTTGTGAACTACAGGAAGAAAAAGCCTGGCCTCATTGACCCAAACTACATCTCTTACAGATTGCAAGAAAAATAAGAGCCTGTCCTCCCTTATTTAAAAGAAGGGCTGTTAGGGTCTGACCTAACATAAATAAATAAATAAATCTCTGCTAATAAAGATTATAGGAGTGAAATTTACACTGGATGTAAGTATGATCCTGGAGTCTTTCTGGGTTTCTTTGTTTTTTTGGCATGCTGCCCTGGCATGATTTACACTGAGATAACATGTTGGAGCTTCCACCATTAAAAGGAATTAAATAAAAATGCAATAAAGGAGTACAAAATCAATCCGCTTACAGTTTTGTTCAATAACAATTCATGAAGGATGGGTGGGGAGGCCCATATGAAACACACCAGTTCAATGAGGGGCTCTATCAAGCCCACAGCCATTAGAGAGTAGCAGCGGGATTGGATTATTGAACATTAGCATGAGTTAGCTGAATGGCAGTGTGTTGAATATGCCTCAGTTCCCCTATCATTCCAAACTCTGTCATTGCTCCTAGTTAATAGTGCATCTATCGCCTGAAATAATGGCGAACAAAAGCACAGGAGACGGGGTGATGACCTTGAATGAGAAGCTGATGCATGAGGATTCTCCAACAAGATCTCTCCCCCCGCCAGGGAAGCTGGAAAAGTACAATACAGCAAATCAACCTCTGAAATCAGTGGAGTTGCATCTGCTTACCCCAAAGCTAAATTTGGCCTAGTGTGATAGTTTTTGCTCGTGTGCCCCTTTTCCCCTTTTAAGGTTTTTCTTTATCTTTAAAATGAATTTTTACCCATTTTCCTAATTACAGACTGAAGCTTCAGTGCCCAGCCTAACAAGGATTTCCTCCCCCCAACACCAAGCTGACTCCAGCCCACAAACTATGGTATATCAAAATACTGTAGCTACTCTATTCCAATGGGAATTCTGTTCATGGGGTGGCTACAGAACTAGGCCCAGCATCTTATTCCGTGTGTCATGTCTGATCCAACAGGTTGCATCCATCTTGCAAAACTATCTAGAGTTTCCACTAGAGCAAGAAGATGTTCCACCTATTCAAAGGGGAAAAGGGGCACACAAGAGCAAAAATTATCACACTAGGCCAAATTTAGCTTTGGGGTAAGCAGATGCAACTCCACTGATTTCAGTTTAAGTAAATTCATTCCCCATGTGTTTGTGTTCCCCCTTTGGGAAGTTGCTCTCCCTGAATATTTATCCCATAGAATTCAACTAGTAGAAATATTTGTTGAAAGGGAATTTGTGTTGCATGAGCAAGCTAAGGCCTGGTCCCCACTTAGTCCGGACTTCGGACTAAGGTACGCAAATTCAGCTACGTTATTAACGTAGCTGAATTCGAAGTACCTTAGTCCGAACTTACCGCGGTCCAGACGCGGCCGGAAGTCTCCCCCCGTCGACGCCGCGTACTCCTCTCGGCGAGCTGGAGTACCGGCGCCGACTGTGAGCACTTCCGGGATCGATCCGGGATCAATTTATCGCGTCTTAACCAGACGCGATAAATCGATCCCAGAACATCGATGGCGTGCCGCCGGACCAGCCGGTAAGTGAAGACTAGGCCTAAGTGTGCCACGTTGCCCTCTGGTGGCTGGTATACACAAGGAGGTCACAGTCTGCTAAGAGTTCAGCTCAAATGGTAGATACCCATGGTTTGGGGGCTGAAGTGCTCAGGTTCTATATTGGCTGAAGACTGGGGTGTGTGGGGGAAGGAATCATTATATTTGCAGACCTATCCAATAAGGAAATAGGAACATTTTTTGACCAACCAGAAGTATCCAATATTGCTCATACCAAAAATATTGAGCACTGAAAAAGCTAGAGATAAAGCAGAATTAAAGTTCTCCCAACAGTTTGGATGAAAACAGAGTGAATCTTGGACACCGGCCTCCTCTACTGTTCATGCCACCTGAGCATCAGGGCTTCCTAGTGCTTCAGTAGCATTCCACAAAGTGACAATACATGGGAACAGCCAGGTCCCTATCCTCCAGCGTGGTGAGTGACCCTGCTGTTCAGATGCATAGAAAGGTACATGGCCTTCATACTCACATCGAGGCAGCTCAGTTTTCAGGCCCATGAGAGGTGTTTCAAACTTCACTTTCTGCTTTAAGTACTTACCCCTCAGAAATCAGACACAAGGCCATGTTAGCCTCCTACTTCCTGTACAGCTCCTGAACTTCTCTAAGAGATGCTTTAAGCCAAGCAAAACTGCACTAGCAGTGATTTCCTGGTAGGTTTTTCTTGGCTGTTCCAGTACATTGACTAGAAGGACAATAACCTCTAGCTTGTTTAACAACTTGCACAGCAGGGACAATTACACTCCTTTTAATTGGCTCCTGGGGTTTAATCATCTCCTGGGACACAGCTTCCGGCGTTTCTCATTAACTGCCAGCTCACATTTTCTTGTTCTGTGGAGGACAGGATATGCTGCAGAATGACACACCAAAGGAGGGTCTTTCTCTTTCAGAAATTATAGACTAATGGCACTGGAGCAGGGCAAGGCTCTCTCTCATTCTCACACACCCTTTCCCCAAGGCAGTGGAGTCCTGCTCTACACAACATGCAATAACCCTATTATTCCTGCCCTTTCCATGACACCACCAGCTCCACCGAGACCCAGATTTGATTGCATAGTCCACACTAAATTTCAACAAAACAACTGAAACTGGGAGAGAGAGATTTGATCGGGATACTGACCGGAGAAAAACAATTGGTAGCATTTTAACCAGCTCTCCAACCTATTACAGATCTACTGCGATGCTTACCCATTTAGGCATGGGGAGCACCTTTCACTATATATTACCATTGCCCCAAATGTCTGGATGTTTTAGCTACATGTTCCCAGGCTTAAATGGCTCCCCAACTACATGTGAAAATACTGTAGTGAGCCCCAGCTGAGAGTGAGGGAAAGAATTTGGCCAGTGGAACACACTGCATTAACCAGAGAGTAGAGGGCTCCATAATGCTGAGAGAACAGGAAAAAGGACATGACATCCTGAGGACAGGGTCAAGGGGGCCAGGGGCTGCATGAGCACAGAAGCAGCAGGATGGAGGTGGCCACTTAGGAGCTGACAATGGAGAGAAGGCCAGGCAGTGTAGGGCCTGGGAGTAAAAACTGGACAAGGGCCAGTAGGAGCTGCAGGAGGAGGATCCCAGCACAGCGACCTGCCAAGCAGGAAGCAGCTACACATGCATAGCAGGATGACTATGCCAAGGGGCCCCGACTGTTATATTTACATCCCAGCCCCAGGCATGGCATTTATTCTCTCATGGGATATACCCATAGCACATTGAGTGTACCCTGGGGTTATACGGTGGTCAGAGTGATTTGTCATTTTTGCTCCCCACAGCTCCTTGACTACAGATGTTGGAAATAACCTGGGAGAATTAAGTTACAATAACCATGTCACACAGATCAATCCCAAGAGCTTTGGCTCATCCTTAACTTCCTGCAAACTTTAGAGGAATTTTGCTGACACCCAAAACATAGCATCAGGCTTCCTCAGACCTATGGGGAGGTGGGGAGAAGGGGGGAGTGGGGAGAGACCAAAGGAGACAAGGATTTGCATGGAGTCCACTCTGTACAAGATTGCTGCCCCCCTCCCCAAAGGGACCAACACATGCACTCTCAATATCTCTTACACAGGTTTTACACCAGTGTGTAATCTCATTGAATTCAATTGAAGTTATTGCTGATTTACACAGGCGTAACGAACTGCAGACCCAAAACATAGGTATGTATTTAGAGTCAGTTGGAAAAGGGTATTTAATGAAAAGTTTTTAGAGAAATATTATTTTCATTCAAATGTCCATGTAATTTTTTGTTTAATGAAAATTTTGGTTGGTTGGGGGGGGAAGACTGCATAAAAAGGGGGGATAAAAAGGAGAGAGAAAGTGAGGGGGTTTTTTAACCACCAAAATGAGATGAGAAAATCTTTAGAAAAATTATCAAAAAATGAAAAATTCAACCAAAATGAACATATTCATTTGGATCCAAAAGTCATTTTCCATGGGGAAAAAACACTGAATTAAAAAGTTTCCACCAACTCTAATAATAATGCCCAAGACATATATAGATCACATGACTTTTTCATACTCAGACAGGTGAGTGCACATGGAGTGTTATGATCTAATCACCCACAAGTCAATGGACAAAAAGTAAAATGATTATAATAGTGGTACATGTAGCTTTGCAAATGATCGGATGTTTTCTCTATACTCTACGTTTACATTTTGATGTACCTTGTCTGCAGAGGCAGCTGACGTTTTATAAGGAATACCTGATGCAGTATGTTACAACAGAGATGCACACTGCACGGTGAGGGTGAAATCCTGGCTCCAGTCAAGTCAGAAGTTTTGCCATTGACTTCAGTGGAGCAAAATTTAGACCACTTTTGATTCTCCTTGCTTTGTTGTTTCCCTCAATCTAAATCAAGAATTCACTCAGATTGAAGATACAGGTTGCTCTGGTGTATGAAAAACATGAGTAGGTCATTTGAATTGTAAGGCCCATTTTGACTGGGGGATAGAGAGGCATACTGAGGTTAGAAAAGCAATGCGAAAGAGAGGTACCTGCTCCTTCCCAGGCAGACAGAGCCAGCAGCTGGTCACATGAGCATGAATCAAAGACAATACACAATGCAGAAAACAGAAAAGGAAATCTGACATGTGGTGAAGGAACAAACGTTGTGTGTTAAACTTACACTGGCAGGACCATGAGATCCAAGTAGTTTTCTATTACTCCTCAGCTACGCTTGGCAGGTTTGTTTGATTTTTCCCGTCAGGATCCTGCAGTTAAGTTCTCTTTACTGGGGGGAGGGGAGTGCGGTGCTGGGAAAGGGACTGAGAAGCAAGAATCTGTCAAACAGTTGTTTTATTTCCTACAGTGCTGGCTGACTGACCAAAATCCTATAAAAAAAAACAAAAAAAATCAAATTCAGGAAAAAACCTGAACATGTCAAGGCTTTTGGAACAAATGGCACAATAAGTTTTTTCCTGTAGCTATAGGCATGTATTTCTTTCTATTCTTTATTTATTTATTTAAACCCCTCGAACACACCATTTCTCCCAATGGACTACAAAGGTTCAAAGGGTTTGAGAGCACCGATAAATCACAACCATAGAAACGTCCTGTAGCGAAGTTTGATTCTTATTTACCCGGGGTCTTTGGGCCAGTGCTCAGTCTGTGTTGCAGGAGGCAGATTTACTTCTCCCATGATGCCCTCAATTCACAGAGTGCTCATCTTGCAAGCTGCACCACTCCAGCCCTCTGCTGCTAAAATGGAGCCCACATTTCTAGTCACAGGATTTCATCTTTTGCTTTATCATCCTTTCCCTCCCTCTTCCAGATGCTGATCTGAACTAACTTCTGGTTAGAAATATCTTGGGAGGTGAGTTGCTGAGATTCAAAGAGAATGTGTGTCAGTCACTGCCATATTCACAGGGGATGTCCAGATCCAAAAGACTTTCTCCTTAAGTCACCTGTAGTTATGACTCCCTCTTTAAGGTAGCTCTTGGAACCCTGGCATAATGTATAGTGACATAGGGTAGGCGAGTATGCAGGTATGTACATCACAGAAAGGGCGGGAAAGAGAATTTTTAGTAACAGGAGGGAGGGTACTTTACCTATTTTTAGACTTGTTGGATGGGCAATTCTGTGCCTAATTTGCATACACAATTCAGTTCAGCAGGCACAAAGGTAATTATAAATTAATTTAATTTGAGTGCATATCCATGGAAAGCATGAGCTGTTCATTCAGCTCTAACTCAAAATAAAACAAACCCAAAATACACCACCACTAACAGACGAATCTCAGAACTGAAGTTTGGCCCAGATAAGCATCTGAAGTGACAGATGTTTCTCCAGACCTTTCTCCATTGATTTGCCTCATTGGTATCCATGACCTCATCTATTGTCTTTTTGACCAACATTGGGGTGAGCAAGTTTCATTCACAGGAATATTCAAGGAAAGCAAAAAGCATTACAAGGGCTGCCATTATTTAATTGCATTGAATATTTGTATGGGTAGTGTTCTGATGGTTGTTATGAAGCCCTTTTAATCAGCCACCCAGTAGATTCATCATACAATTTATTACACACATTCACAGGTAAGTTCTGAACAGATAAGAAATGCCATGTTTTATAAAAATTTACATAATCCAATCAGGGAACAATACCTAGTGACTTAGGTGAATCAGTCATATGGCACAAATAGTAACTATCCACATGCAGTGATGATGGTCATGTAAATAACTGGACAGAAGGCTGGATTAACAGGGACTAATCAGAGCAATCAATTTGGGAGCGATCCCCAAATTAAAATTTATTCACATAAATGGCTCAAACATTCACAAATTAAACATGTGGAAAATGTCTCATCACTGGGTAATTCATAAATATAATGGTCTAAATCTGTCAGATTGATTGCAATGAACTCAACTGTTGGCTACAGTGGGACCATGATATGCCCTAAATACATACCATTTCAAATGCACTGTTAAGATGTGCAGAAAATCACCTTCTCAGACACCAGTGGATTTGAACCCTTGAGGGATCCCCACAGCTCTTAAGAGAGTCCAATTATTGTCAATAATGGGATAAGAGTCTGGAATGGAAATTCTGGCAAAACCCCAAGAGCAGACGAACAGAGTAACTGCATGCCAGAAAGCAGTTTGCTTACAGAACTGGCAGCCTTGTAACAATAACCCTTTTAAAGAGATGAGCCCAGTGTACAGTAGTAAGCTAGTTCAGAGGCTCGTGAAGTGATGGACCTGGGGACCATGCGGTATCAGAGGGCACTATTAGTATATCCTTCCAGTAAGGTCTAGATGGCTCAGGGGCTTGGTAATGGGCTTTTACACAGCCAGCCCAATTGTTCAAAGCCAGCCCAAGTTGGCAGCAACCAAAAGTCATCTGGAGATGATAGTCTAACAGCCACATTTCACAGTCAAATTCCTATTGGCAGAACTCAATATCATAAAAACTATCAACAGGTTTAACTGGCAGCATCAGAGGCCAAAAATGAATTGGACTTGGAGAATGAATTACTGTGCGTCCCTAGAAGTCAGATGTGGGGCACTGTGGGGAAACTTGTGCTTCTGCTGTACCTGTTATGTGGATAAAGAGGTCTGTAGGGCTGTCTGGCCCCTTTTGCTAGCAATAAATGCACTATTATATGCCATTCTTGCATAACGTTATTGTTAACTGGAACTCAGAGCTACTTAATTTCAGCAATTAGAGTCCAGCCTTGATCCCCTCCCTGGTTCTGATCCTACCCAGAGGGAATCTGCCAAGCTCATGGAGCAGCCACCGACTCCAAGGTTGGTAGGAAAAAGCACAGATCTGGGAGTCAGAAGCATTTGAATTTGAATTTTGGTGCCGCCACTGATTTACTGTGATCTCCAGCAAGGGACTTGAACTCAGTGCCTCTGTTTCCCCATATATAAAATGGGGGAGAATACCTCACTCAGAGGGATGGTGGGAGGCTCAATCGATTCATGTTTGTTTTATAACACTGTGCAAGTGCCAGGTGTTGGCATGCAGTCTCCTCAATAATTCCTACCAGCCCTGATCTCCCAAATCTAGTCTTATTTTGATTATCAAATCTTCTGAGCAGGAAACGTGCCGTGTCTGTTTGTAAAGCCCCAAGTAATTTACAATGCAACATAAATACTTTATAATCACTCAGCCTTGCAAAATTCTATTCATCCACAATAAATCACTTTTTATGTCAAGCAAGTAAAACATTATTAGTGTTTTATTATTATTATTATTATTATCAGCTCCAGCAGAGGACGGACATGTAGGTGATGTCTGGGCTAGCAAACGTGCATAAAAAAAACTTGCAAGGCTAATATCTGAGAACTTGAAGGAAGCAATCAGGGTGTTTAACATTCTGAAAAAGGAGACTTCCCCTCAGTAGTAACAATGGAAAATTTCAGATCATTGAAGCATGTGGCTCAATCTTTTTAACAGACAAAGAGACAATGGAATGCTCGCCTTGTTGAGACCTACTTTAGGCTTAACATCAGTTTGGACTTAGTATAATAATTACAATTGTGTTTGTGTTGTGTGCAATGTATGATGAACTCGTTAAAAAAAATGAACAAGAGCTCATTCCCCAATCAATGGAAGCAAAAAGCCATCTAACATAATGGACAGATATAATCATCATGCACTCTGTTAGACATACTGAGTGATTGATACAAGGGGGGGGGGTTAAATTATGATGATCTGTAAAGATGTGGCTGAAACAGAGAGAGGGGGAGAATCATTTTTAATATGATTAATATTACAGCAGAGAGGGGAGAAAGGAAAGAGATGGGATTTGGTCCCTTTTAACACTCTACTCCCATGCAGTGCTGCTTAGCAGAAAAGCCTTCCAGCTGAGGGCTATGAAACAGTTATCACTGCTAGGTGATTAAGTTACTAATTCTTCAGGGAGAAGACATTTAGAGGCCCATATTAAAGGAGAGCAAGGCAAAATTACATTCCGTTTCAATTTGGTTTAGCAATTCTAGTGATTTAGTTAAATGAAAAGCAATTGTTCCAATTAATAGTATTGAATGTTATTCATCAAAAGTGTCAAAACAGCTGTGTTGGTGCATTAGTAACCTAGTCTCTTGTCAGAGATATGGATAATTCCCCAGGATTGAACTGGGGAAAACGGCACAGCATCCAGGAGCTTCAGAGGGAACTGAAAGATGGGGGAGGGGGGTAAAATAATCACTGACTTGTCATGCTTCTACTAGGCTCTGTATTGCATCCCATATATCATTTTATCTCCTGCAGGGACAACTGTCTGAGCTGGAGCCAAAGAGGGCAGGGGACATTCCTGAACATGTGAACTTACCTGCCATTGTCTCCAGGTCCATCATGGGGATCCTGGGCAAAGCGTGCTTCCCCCAGGCGAGCCCAGCACTCTTAACCAGAGCTGGGGGAGGGGGTCACAGCCACCTCCTCTCCTTCATCCCAGACATCAGGAAGTGTAGCACCATCATCAGTGCTAGTTTTGCCCAGAGGGAGCACAATGAGGAGGAATAGGACCAGCCTCTGCTAGCATTTAGCAACTGTTTGGATCTATACACGTGATCTATGGTGGCCACTGTCTCATGGAACCCATCCATCAAAACAGCGATTAAGGATCTAAGAGGAAAAGTTTGGATGTAACCCCTGAATACAATGGGGTAATAAAACACAATGGTGCTGCTAGCCTGGGAATATGACACTCTGGCACGAGACGGGCCCTTCTATTTCGGGATAAACAGAGCCCAGTCTGAACACGGACGAGGGCATCCTGGAGCTCATTAATCTGTTTGGGAATGACAGAGACAGGATAACAGGTCTGATAAGGGTTTCCTCCAGCCTTTTCCTCACACAGCACAGGCCCCTCCAGCCGCTTCAGTTATCTCCACTCAATAAGGCTTTATACACTTCCTCCCGGAACCCATAATTACCGTCTCAGTGCAGGCGATACCATCATCTTCCTTTCCTTTCAAATTTCCACAGCCTTTTTATGAGAGATTAGAGAGCCTTGTCTCTTTTGGACTCCACTGTTTGTTTTCTCCCTGAACCAGTCAAAGAAGAAAAATACATACAATGTACCTGAGTTGAAGGACAGGGGAAAATGATCCCAAATGCCCAAAAGGTTCAGCAGTGGAGGAGAAGTGCTTCTCATGGACGTATGAGGCTACCAAGGTGGCCTGTTGTTGCTAGGTGAGCTGTGTGCTGGGCTCATTCTATAGCGTAACTGGGAGCGGCCTACATGATTCTCTAGGTTGTGCCACCTGCCAGTGGCCCCAAGCTGCTGAACAGCCCCAGCCATACTCCACACACTGGCAGCATAAATGTGTGGGGGGAAGAAGTCTACACTGCTCTACGTGAAGGATCCTGACACTGGGATGATCGTCCCATGGTCAGCTGTGCCAGCTTAAAGGCAGCGGTTTAGCACAAAGTGGCCACACCACATAGATTTTAAAGGCCAGATTAAACAATCACAACAGACCTATCCGACCTCCTCCATAACAGGTCATAGGGCTTCCCTGATTTTATTCCTATTTGAACTAAAGCAGCTCTTTTAGAAAAACCATCCAGTTTGGATTGAAAAATTTCCCCATGATGGAGACTCCTCCACAGGCCTTGGTAAGTTGTTCCAGAGATTAAAGATTCACTGTTAAAAATCTGCCTTATGAAAGGATCTGGGGCAGACATCTAACCACTGACTTGCAACACTACACATCCTTCTTGGAGGATTGCCACAAGGGGCTCTAACCGTAACATACGTGCAGTACCAGTTACAAGCCCATCTTGAAGTCTACAAGACAGGCTCAGTGTTCTACAGATCTTCCCCTTTCTCTGCAAGCCCAGCTGGTAGGACAGCTGGGGAGACCCAGCTTTGTTGCATATGACAAGGCAGTGCCCCAAGGTGACGGGACCACAACAGGTGCAGGGTCATGACCTATTGAGACTCACGTGCTCTCTGCGCTCCTTACCAATTGCCCTTCCCCTTTTTCTGTCTTCCCTTCTCAGTTCTATTCCCTTCCTTCCCTCCCTCTTTCCCCAACCCACTTTGCTCCCATTTACGCTCACCTTCCTGGTGCTATTCCCCATGGCAACATTCCTCTCCCCATAATAAAATAGATAAATGAAAGCTTTTAAAAAATGGAACTAATAAGGTGCCTTAGCAGAAACTGCCTCTAGGAGACAAGAAGTCTCCCACACATCCCAAGGATGAAGGGGAGCATGTCCACTGTTTCACTCCTCTGAGGGGGGGACCATACATCTGCTCCAAGGCCAAACACCATTGCGAGTCAGTATGGAGAGTGCTGGAGCTGTGGTCCCATCTCACTCCCCTTCCCCACTCAGTCCTTTTGGGGTGGCTTGTACCCCGGTAGTCGCTAGCAGAGAGCAGTCCTTGTGTTTGAGTGTGTAGGGTCAGAGGCCTACAAGAGAAAGTTGCACGGGTTAACTTGTGTGATTTTAATCAGTACAAACTCCTCTGTGGATGCTTATTTTGCAATGAGTGTTAGCTAAACCAAAATAAACTTTGTTTAAACTAAAATAAGAGTTCAGCCTTTGGCACTCGTTTGGCTAAAGCACGTTATCTTAAGTTAAACCGGTGTCGCTTTCTTGTTTAGACAAGGCCTAAGATCACGGAGGGTAACTGTAGCATAATGGACGGGTAAATGGTCCTGGGGGGGGGAATTGACAAATAGATTTTTCTTTTTTTAGTTCAATTTTTGGTGCCCTGAAATTTTCTGTGAGGCAAATTTGACAAATCGGTTCATCGGGGGGAGGATATTTTAGTTTTAGTTTTTTCATTTGAAAAAAAAAAATGGGGAAAAATGGTTTGTTTGAATCAAACCAGATCCTTTCTCCCAGATTTTTGTGTCCTGTATCATAACAGAAAAATCCACTAGTTGCTCAGCTGTAATGGTAACAGGCTTTCCCAGCTTTATACACCGTAAAAATAAATAATAATGAAACATCCTCTCTAGGCAATAGCAGATCCCAGCACTTTATCGAGACCTCTCTGAGCCTTGGCTCAGAATCATGTCAATGGGATCATATAGCATAATTCTAGAAAAAACTCATGTGCACAAAGGATATTCACTCATTAGACTTGCCCTGTGTTTTACCAGACTGTGGGTGTTTTGTTATTTTGCTAAAAAAAACCTGCTGAAAACTCTCAATATTAGGTCCACTCCAGGCATATCAGCTAACAAAAACTACTATCTACCTATAGTTGCAATTTAGCCCACCTAGCATGCAGAAAGTATGGGCTTTAAAAAGAACAGAAATGTATTCTTCTGGACTACATTCTTTACTTAAAACCAAGAGTCTCAACAAAACCTCTTAAAAATCACAGCCCAGACTCTTCAGTTAGTAACTCCTATTTTTCCCCATATAACAATATATGTCCTTTATAAGGAAGGCACTGCAATTGTTAGTGCCTTCAGGGCGTGGAGGATTACTGATGATAAAGCTGAGCATTTAATATGCATGAGTGATATTAAGTGGGCCTGTCTATTTTAGCTTGGATGACTCTATACAACATTTGTATTGTTGAGTCACATTTCATATAACACTTAACGAACATCATTATGTTAAGGCCTGCTTTACAAAAGCCCAATATATATTGCCCTGATTTTACGAATGGGGAAATTGAGGCACAGAGATGTTAAGTGTCATATAGCAGTTCCATTGCAGAATCAGGAATAGGACATTCAAATCTCCCGACTCCTACTCCAGAACTCTATGCTCTGCACCACACTTCCTGGCAAAGGTAAAATGCTGCATCAACAATACCAGCAAAATACCAACTTCCTACATTAAAATGAAACTTTTAAGCAAAATACATCAGCTCCTTCTCAATGCACCAATATAAGTAATATTCTTAATATCAGAGATCTCTAAATTTCAGATTTTCAGTGCATATGGCAGCAAGTGAACTGACTCCTAAGAACTTTAACTTATCAGTTATACTGGAACCGGATATGCTGAAGGACCACTTGTCAGCAATATAGAATGGGCCCAGCCACTCACTCTTACTAACAGGAATTGCTTCTTTACTATATGTTTTGGGCAACTAGAAATGCCACTATGTAATTATTTGCAATTGTACAAGTTAGACATGTTGTAAGTACAGCTAGTCAGCAATTGGGATTCCCTCTGCCTTGTGGAAAATTTGACTTTTTAATAAAAGAGTTAAAATAAAAATGGAATAGTTTGACTTAGAAACGCCACTGCAGAGCACCCTATTCCCATTATCCTCCGTAGCCTGGGATCCCTGAGAGGACTGTGTCCCCCATGATGCACCATTGCTTCCCTCTTAGTGAGGGGAAGAGTTGCACCGTGTGAGTGTCATGCCACAATCCATCATGGGAGATGAACTCCAGCTGAGGACCTGGAATGGAGCAATGAGGTAATTGAACTACATCTCCCAGGAAGCACCATGGTGGCATATCCAAATCAGTGTTTTTCAGTTTTTGGATGAAAATTGAACAGTTTTTGCTTTATAGTTATTTGGTTTTGACAAAAATTTAAAGGTGTCTGCTTGCCACAAAAAATGTGTGGGGAAAATATGGTTTGCTGACTCAAAAACAAAACAAAAAAAACCACACACCAAAAAACAAAACAAAACAAAACAAAAACACATAATTTTCTATCCAAACAGTATAGATGGAACATTTTCTACCAACCCTAATTGCAAGAAGAGTTGGTAAAAAAAAACACTGCAATTTTTTGTTATTTAGATGAATTCACAAAAAGATTCTGCTAGCTCCCTTATGAATTCTGCAAGAACTCAAGAAAAAAAGATGCAGTAATCAATTAGAACTAAAATAATTATATTATAAGCACCACAGAATAATGTTTCCAAGTGTGCATTTGTTAAATACAGGGCACACATCCTGAGAATACTAATTAAAAAATAAAAACGAACATTAAACTACAGATTTTACTTCAGTTTGGAAGGATAGAAGCTGCAGTATTGCAATTGCAGATCTTTGTATTTAGAGCACAAAACTATTATTCTCCTAAAAGATTATGGGCTTCTGTACACAGGGAAATTGATCAGCATGGCTATAACAAGTAATTATTAGACTATAGCTATGCCAGCATAACTCTGGCATGTGAACACTATTCCAGAATAAAAGTGACTTTATTCTAGAATAATTACTGTGCTTTGGAAGCTGAGTAACTATTCCAGAATAAAGTTACTTTTATTCCATAATTGAGGGCCCACACAGAATTATTCTAGAAAAGCTATAGCAGAATAATGTATTCCTCTATAGCTATGCCAGTCAGTTTCCCTGTGTAGACAAGCAAATCCATTTAAAATTGCTGTTATAATCGATTGTTACAATTTAACCTCTTCCATGCCAAGTGATATACAAAGTTTTGTCCAAGGAATGAGTTTCTCCGGTCCAGTGTACCTGGTAGGCACATCTTGAAATTACATCCAAATGAGTGGGACTTGTTCTGATTGAACTTGCTGAAGACGAT